TCTACATTACCTCTACGTGAAGATTAAAGAGCTTGCTTTTCTAGCATACGGATTTATTGTATCATTATGATCATCTTGCCATTTATTTTAAAGTCAATGTAACCAGCTACTGCCTGTATTGATAAGGCATTGCAGTGTAAAGATGATGTTTGGTGATCACAAACGTGGTTATGGTTACTTTATTGTAACAGAACATTCAGATCTTTTTGTATGTCCCAACGTTACAATCTACAAAGGAATTCGATTTCTGTTGAGGTTAGGATTCTACTTATTGAGCAAAAATATTTGATTTAAAAATTTGATTGTTTTTGTCTTTCTTGGGGGAAAGAAAAAAAGTCCTCGTTGTGCTTCTAATTTCTCCTTGAGAAGAAGTTTTCTGCCTCAAAAAGCCAGGGTGTCCCTGACAACTGCAGGCCGTGGCGCATTACCCTCAAGCTATGAATAGGTTGGATCTCCCCCTAAACATCCCTTCTGCTCTCTGAATGATCAATAAAACGGTTTGGCTTATCTCTGAAAATAACCTTGTTGACAACACAAATACGGACTTAAGCATGTTCCCTCCACACTGAAGATTTAAGGAGCCCCCAGGAAATGTCAGGGGGTATCACAGTGATACTTGGTTATTATTAGTGTTTAACTGAAATTCCCCACCAGCGGCACGTGCCAGCACCACCATAAATTTTGATGGGAGCATGTGCTCTTCTCTTTTCATATCCAGTGAATTCTGCAAGATCACAATATTCTGTATGAACCCTGGCTGAACCTTGGTGTGATGCGAAGAAAGAGCAAGATTCTCCCGCAGTGATAGCTGCTCATCATTGTATAGTTGTTGATTTTGTAAAAGTGGACATTGAGCAGCATGGTTGCTTGAATAATATTACCCTGAACTAAAGTCACTCATTCAATTAATCTTTATTGAGCCCCCCACAGGATGTAGGGCAAGCCCAAAGTGCTAATGAGTACATTTATGGGATAGTAAAGAATACTGACTCTTAAAGAAAGCTCTCCCCTCTTGAAAAAGCTGTCAGAGCACATACGTCACTTATAAAATCAAACACCGTCTTTGCAACCTTGGCACCACCACAGGCATTTTATTCTACAGAATACCAACAGAAGTCCAGTTGTTTCCTGTATCTGATCTGTATCATGAATGTGAGAAATGTGTCCATCATCTTTCATTATGTATGTATGTGCTCAGTGGAATATTTATTCCACGAGACTCTATATTAAAAAAAGAGAATTTGTAAAACTGTCATTGATTTGAAGGTTTTTATTTCTTGTTTTAACCATAAATAGTAGTTAGCAGTACATATTGTACTCACTGAGAAAGTTCAAAGTATGTGTGTAGTAAATTTTAATGATCCAAATATCTCTTTAAAAGTCAAGGATAACATGCAAGTTCCTGTTTTTATAAATTTGAAATTTTAGGCTGGAGAGATGGGACAAATTAATAAGTATTCAATAAGGTTCTCAGTGAACTAAATATCCAATATTTTATATCAATTATCTATCCTACAAGGTAGTTTTATTTTAAAGGAACAAAACTGCTTTGTTACCTACATATGAGTCTCAGTACTTTCGCAAAATGCAATTTTGAGTCAGTAAATTTTTTTCATGTGTGAAATGATTTTAAGGTTAAAAGTCAGGAAGCTGGTGCTCGTATTTATAATTTCCTTGTCCTGTCACACGTGAGATGCCAGCATTTGCCCAGCAGTGACACACAACTACGCAGGTTCTGATGTTCAGACAATGTGCTTAGGAAAATACACAATCCCAGCTTTAGGATTAGACAGAGAACACTGTATCATTCACACTAACAGCACAGCCGGCAAGGAGGCAGGTGCAAAACAGCTCGTCCTGATGGGCGGGGCTCTTTTCTGGCTCTCTGGCTTTGTTAGTGTCTCTTTTAGGGAAAACATTTATTCTGTGGGATGTGGGCCTCAGTTATCACCTGTGCCGGAAGAAAAGAAGCACCTTCAAGGAAGGCCAGGAAGGTTCTCCTCCCCGCCCCGTCTTTTTTAGCAATGGCAGAGAAATTTTGCCTTGGAGCGCCATCTAGAGGAATTTTCAGCACATATCTGCTGTGTTTGGCTTTGTGATCCCATCTGAATCCAGTGGTTGGTGCATAGTGAATTTCTTTTTCTCCAGATTAACAGAAAATTTCTAACTTATCACATGGAAACAGAATGTGAGGCCACTTGAATGGAAATAGGACCACAGATGAGATGAAAACAATGAAAGGCTTTAAAATCTACAGGAATTCCAGAAGCATTAGTGCCTATCCAATGGAAATAAGGAAGGTGTCATTTTCTCTTAGGCTGAGGTCATATTTCAGAAATTAGAATTGATGAGTGAATTAAATTCAATTCTGTCTACATTGATCAAGTAATTTCTGTCATCTTCATAATTATTTTCTCAGTTAAAAAATTCTGCTTAACCAGATTATTCACGGTCAAGCTGCAGAAGATGCTTGTATTAAGAACAAACAGAAGTCAATATTTTCAGCCTAAAGTAATTCTCATTCATTTAATAAGCAGGAAATAATAACTTTTCCAGATGTGGTTGCACAGTTCAATGTGAAGGAGAAAAGTGATATCCACTGACATTTTCTTTCCAAAGTCCTGCCCATCCCCTCTTATAGCAATGAAGTCTTTCCTTTTTGTGCTAGCATCAATACAAAAACAATACCCAAACTAACAGAGTACCTAACACATAATGTGCTGGAGTGAAATGGGTATTTTGAGATTTGATGACTGTTGACAGCCCTTGTTTCTACTGCGGAGGAACAGTGTTTTTTCCTTCATACTATTTGTTGAACTCTTTACCTAGTGTAGGGTTAACCTTATGAATATAAAGCATTCTGAAAATAGATCTGTGTAAAAATTAAGAGTGGGAATAGGAGGGAAAAGGGCTGGAGCTTAGGTGGAGGGATGGTAGGAAGGGAAGTACCACTATGTTCCTAAATCTGTATATATGAAATACATGAAGCTTGTATACCTCAGATAAAATGTTTTTAAAAATTAAAACTTCAACACTGCTGAGCAGATTTGCAGAAACAATCAAAACTTTCAAATATTTGGACTACTTAAGTATTCCCATTATGTTGGTGTAGTTTAAGAGTTCCACTTTCTTCAGTTTCTTGGAAAGTATAGAGATTGCTCAAATCATGGAAACCTTTAGTGATGAAAAATGAATATATATTTACTTCCAAGTGTCCACATTGATCTTGTCACCTTTGCCAGCTTCCTCCTCCCAATTATTTTAAGGCTTGTCATAGAAATCTGTCTGACTTCAACATTTTAAACACAGTGTCACAGTCAACTCTTTTTCCTTTGTTGAACAAGTTTCCTGCTTACCTATTTTGCAATTCCAAAAATCCATAGGGTCTCCAAAAACAATCAATAATTCCTTATTGAATGCCGTCTCTGAGCCAGACACATGAATTCTGCACTTGGAAAACTATCGCTTGTTTGATTTGGAAAATCAACATTACGGGTTGATTTTTTCTCCCCACATAATGCTGGCACTTGAGCAGTTAAGCTTCACGCTTCAGAGCACCCTGACTGTATAGGTAACGGAAAGACAGAATCACTGCAGTTTTTCCAGGCCCATCTGTCTGTTCCTTAGACAGCTGGGGACTCAGAATACAACTACCTGAATATAAAGTGAAGACATTTCGGTCCCATCTTCTTACACCATATATGCACTTGACTTCAATTCAATCCAATATACATTTGTTGTAAACCTACCAAATGCATGATAGGGTGCAAGGTGCTGGTGGCGCCTCAGTAAGTAGGTGCTCAGTAAACAAATGAATTGTGCTGAAAGAACAAGAAATCATCTCTTCCCCCAAGCAGCTTACTCCACAGGAGAATGAGACGTTTGTTACTTAAGATACAATACAACGTGCTGTACTAGATACAGTGGGGAGAAAGAAGTAATTATTGATGCTTTGGGAGAGGGGAATACTTTGTGGAAAAGCTAACATTAGATCAATGTCTTAAAGGATGAGCAAAATTTTAATAGGCAGAGAAGAGGGCAGAGATTTTCATGAAGAAGCAAAATAGTCTTTGTTCAATTGGAACAAAAGAAAATGCATTTCGTTTGGAACTTCTGATCTTGTGTTTAAATTTCAACCTGGGTGCAAACACATAAGGTATTTGTATTTATGTCATGAGTCTCTCTCTCTCCCTCTCTCTCTCTCTCTCCCTCTCTTTACACATATCCATATATAGGTACTATGAGGCCAAAGAAACCAATATATTTGAGCCAGAAAGCATTTGACTTGATGATAGCTTAACAATGTAGGTGGAAACAGGGCCAGAACAATCCTTAGTTCTCGCCAGAAAATGGGGATGAATAGAGGATTCTGTTTCAATCTTTGCCTCAAACATTTGCTTTCAGATTTAATTCCAAGGCTTACCTCTGGCCAGCTGCCCCAGCTATCTCTGTAAAACAGATTGAACACCATCACTGGGTTACAGCGGCTGGGGTAGAGGATTTAAGCCAAGTTAGCCTCTGAATTCTGAGGGCATCTGTTCTCACCCCTTCCTGCTCCCTGGACTTCCTCTGGTATTCTCCCAAATAGGTGTTCTCAACGAGTTTCCGTGCTCTGGTGGGTAATGCTCACACCTCCCTTCTTTGGCTTTCCAGCAACCCAGCAAGTCTTATCCAGTGATCTGTTTTATTACTCAACTCTGAAAAAAGATTACTTGGAAAATTCAAGTACTTCTTTTGTAAAAGCACCAATTTACCAAGGTAAAATGTTGAAAAGAGGCTCAAATCATCCTTCCAAGGCTACATCTGCTTCAAGCTGTCAATGACTTTACAGTTTTAAAGCCTAGAAATTGTTGCTATCAAATAGAGACTTGCATAGCTGAGGCTGCTAAGCCATCAGACCACCATATGGCCAATGTCCAGAGAAACGGACACGTAAAAGAGAGGGTCTGTAGGTTCACACGCATGGAAGAAGACCTTCCACCACCACTGAACACACTTACAGTTAGCATGGCAAACATCAGCTGGCACACGTTGAAGGCGTGTCTCCAGTTGTGGTATAGAACCATGCGGTAATTTTTCCTCACTGTCAAAAGCCACCTGCACAGCGTCTGGAATGGGAAGGCAGAGGGTGGGTCAGGCAGTTGTGAATGTCTCCTCTGGACTATTTCCAAAAGGATGCTTCAAGTTGAGTGGCCCATACAAAGGTCAGAGCCCTTCCCACAAACACCTCATCCAATTCTCGAAGTCCTGTCACGAGGTGTGCGGGAAGAGATAATTGGCTTTGCCTTGTCTTTGGGTAGCCTGAGGGTAAGAGTGGCTAGCAAATTGTCCCAAGTGCACTTCTCAGGTCACCCAAGGCAGAACATCTTACCTCATAGTCAATTTTAAATTTCTGTACCATCCCCAGCTCCATGAACATCCGGAGGGCAGCTGTAATCATGGCATCAACATCGAGAGAAAAGTCATCAAAGTGAATGTCATCGATGGCCAGTTCTGACACCAGAGGGATGTTGGCGGCCTACAACAGCAAAAGACGCAAGTCAAACCAAGTTCACCAGCTTCCCCAAAGCCCTGTCCTCCTCTCCTCTCCTGCTTATCAGAAGTGCCACATAAATCAGGCCTGACCTGCACTTACACCCTGATACAACTAACTACAAGCTGTAAATGTCTTTTGTTTCTGAACTGCAAGTGCCCCAAGCAAATGAAGTTGGGGGTGGGGGGGGGGAAGGAGAGGCAAGTCAACTGGAAGATAAAACGCACAGAGTAGATATAGCCTGCAGAATTTAGAGTGCAGCACCATCTAGTTTACTGAAAACACGGTCATACAATACGTTCTGATACATATTACAGAGCACTAAATGCAAGAAACAGCTGGGCAACTGGCAGCTGTGAATTTTGATTGCTGCGGTTCAGGAGAAGGAGTTGGGAATACACCCTTTGCCTTGTTCCTTGTGCTCTTAAATCCTGCAGTTCTTTGTTACACACGTGCTCCAGACTTTCAGAAGGAAAGAAAGGATCAGACAGTGCATCTCTGCTGTGGAATATGTTGTCTTAATAAAATAGAGATGTTTGGGGCCAGTGCTGTGGCATAGTGGGTGCATTGCCAGCATCCCATGTGGGTGCCAGTTCGAGTCCCTGCTGCTCCACTTCCGATCCAGTTCTCTGCTATGGCAGAGAAAATGGCAGTAGAAGATGGCCGAAGTCCCTGGGCCTCTGCACTGGTGTGGGAGAACCGGAAGAAGCTCCTGGCTCCTGGTTTCAGACCAGTGCAGCTCCGGCCGTTGCGGCCAATTGGGGAGTGAACCATCAGATGGAAGATCTCTCTCTCTCTCTCTCTCTCTCTCTGCCTTTCCTTTTCTCTGTGTAACTCTGACTTTCAAATAAATAAACCTTTGAAAAATAAAATAAGAGATGCTTGGATGGTTAGCATAAGCGCAGGTTTCATCGAAGGGGTACATTTTCTTACATCATTTAGCATCATTCTACATAAACCATCACGTAAATACAGTTCTGGTCATATACATGCGGGGTTTTCAGTGTGCCCAGGTTACGCAGCTGTCAGTCTTGCTCAACATAAGCATAAAGGGAAAAAAATAAAATCTTTGGAAGTTATTTCTATGCTAATTTCTTTGAGTTTACCATATTGTTTGGGCCACTTTTCATTAAGAGTCGCTTTTATGTTTTCAGATTACCAGAGACATTCTATATTCATATTTCTACTCTACTTACTGAGTATCAATTATCAAGGGAGAAATTTATGCCCTGGAACTACTTTGGCTGAACAATTAAATACAAGCCTGGCCACTCTAAGCATTCCAGAAACTACATAATCAATCCCTTCCCTCAGAACTCTGTGCTCTTCCAGGGGAGTTTACATCTCTAGGCTAAAATCCAAACATTGGTTTTCCCCCACGACATGGGCAAAGAATGACCAAAGATTTAAACTGCAGAACAACTAACCTTCTATTCTGAGGATGGCTTATTTTCATTAAAACATTAATTATCTTATCCAATAAATCATCTTAATATGTTAACAGCTTTGTAGGCTCTTGCTCCTTGGGATTAAAAAGGTATGGATTGTGAAATTATTTCTTTGTGTGTAGCTGTCCTTTCTCAGCATTTGTGTTCCCAAGGAAGCATTTTACTTTTTAAATTTTGCACATTTTTAAACAAATTTATAAATACAAATAATCTTAGGGTGAGACTAGTTACATGCACACAACAGCAGAACTCTTTTGGTACCAAAATTTTGCCTTATCCAGAAACAACCAATTTAAAATCATCTTAAAAATATTTTATGAATTTATTTTAGAGATGCACAGACAAGACAGAGTATTCCCATCTGCTGGTTTACTCCCCAAATGCCCATGATAGTCAGGCTGGGACTGGACCAGGCCAAAGCTGGGAGCTAGGAACTCAATCTTGGTATTCCAAGTGGGTGGCAAGGAGCTAACCACTCGAGGCGTCACCTGCTGCCTGCCAGGGTGCACCCCAGCAGGAAGCTGGAATTGGCAGCAGAGTGCGGACATGTGCCCAGGCTCCCTGATATGGGATGTGAGAATAGCCAGTGGTGTCTTAACTGCTAACAAAATCTTTTAACAAAGTCTTTCTGGGTTTTATATTTATATATAATATATATATAATATGTATACTTTATATAACATCATATATATTTTATATTTTATATATTATATAATGTATATTTTATATAACATCATATATATACATAACATCATATATCATAATATATATGTACATATATTTAGCAAAATAAGATGCCTACAATTTTAATTTTGGATTATTTTCTGCTCTAAGTATTATCTATTAATTTCCTGCCACTGTACACTGCATTTGCTAACCACTGCTGTATTATGTACTCACTCTTTTCATTCCTTAATATGTAAACTTTGCTTAGTTTAATATTTGGGGAATATATTATTATGACTGTGTACAAGATATTCATAGCTAAGTCATGCAATTATCATGACTACTTTCCTCTTACTGTGCTTTGTACTCTGCAGAGTTAATAATTGTGTTCTTTAATGTGTGCTTAGTTTTCCATGTACTCATAATTAATTTCATCCATAAGTTCTCTACCAGTTGTCCAAGTCTCCTCTGAAAACATTCAGATGTTTGGAGAATTCTTCAGTTTGTGAAAAAATCATTCCTGGGATCTTCAGTCCTTTTTGAATTTGGACTAGCTGTCTTGTACGTCTGATGTGTATTTTCTACCCTAGGATGTTCTGTCATCAGAATTCTGGGAGTGTCTTCATCTCTTGCTTTTGTTTCTGAATCTCACTTCTTTCTCTTTCTTGGGTTCTCTCCTCATTGTGGTGAGTCACAATCTCTGTTAGTATTCAAGGTAGATTTGTGAGGACTCGCAGTCTGAAATGTTTTGCTCTTGTCACAATATTATTACATTTTTGCATTACTATATTTTATTTGTCTAGATATAGATTTCTGGTTTGGAAATCACTGGATTAGAATTTCAAAGAAATTGTTTTCTCAACTTTGGATGCTACTTTTGGGAAGTCAGAAGCTATTCTAGCCTCTTATACTTTGAAAATAACTCCCATTTCTACCTTATTTTTTTGTAGGATCTTCTTTTGCTTCTCTGAAATGTCATGAAAATGTGCATTGGTGGGAGTTTATTTTCATTATAATCCTAAGGACTTTATGAGTCCTTTAAAGTGGAAAATAATACCCTTTAGTTCTAGAAATTTTTTTAAAAATAAGCTCTTTGATGATTTCTTCTTCTGTCATTTGCATATAATTTCTTTCATTGACTTTTGAATGGTTTCTTTTCATTTTCTTTTTCATGTATTTTGCTTTTTCCTATTTTTCTTTTCTTGTCCTTTTTTCTCTTTTTTTTCAGGAAATAACATCTTTTCTTACATTTGAGACTTTAATACTACAGTTTTCATTTCTCAAATCTTCTCTTTGTTTGAAAATTCCTTTTTAATTTTTTTATTGGCACTGTAATTTGTTTCATGGATGCAGTATCTTATCCCTTTGAGTACATTAATGATAATTCTATCTGCCATTTTCTTTTTCTTTTGTTTATTTCATCCTTTTTACTTTATCTTAGTTTCTCTTTTTAGTTGGCAAAAAATACATAACACACTCTCCTAACAATATATAACACACTACACAGTACTGTTACCCACACACATTGTTACACAGTGGATCCTCAGAGGTTGTTCATCTTGCACAACTCAAACTCTACACCTACCGGACAACAACTCCCCCATTTCCTTCTCCTCCTAGCTCCTGCCACTCACCATGTTTTACACTCTGTTTCTGTGAGCTTCATTCCTCTATTTTATGTAAATTGAAGCATGAAGTCTTTGTCTTTTTGTGATTGGTTTATCTGTCCTAGCATAATGTGCACAAAGTTTATCCAGGTTATAGCATGTGACAAGACTTCCTTCTTTTTAAAGGCTGAATAATATGCCATTGTATGTACATGAGGGCACTTCAGAAAGTTCATGGAAAATGAGATTAAAATTTATTTTTGGTGCAAAAATTCTGAAATCTGTAAATAGTTTTTCATATTTTCTATTAACTTTTTGAAGACCCTTCACATACCACAATGTCCTTCCATTCATCCATTGATGCTTTCATCTCATTCTTAATCAGCTAGTCTTCAATAAATTAATGTATTAAAAGCTTCAGAAATATTAGAGCTTTTCCTTAGCTGTTGGATAGTCTGGTTTTCCACGTATTTTTAAAAGTGAGGCTCTAAAAATTTCTATTGCAGCTTTCAAGCATTTCCCTATGGGAAGCTCTGGGCTACCCTGTTTCCTTGGGGAAGCCACCAAATGTCAGTATATATGTGTCTTTGCTCCTATCCTCATCTCTGTATTGATGACTTTCTAATCCAGAGACGCATTTTATCATACACTCTCCAAGAATAAGCTCCAGTCCTTATGGAGAGAAGCGTGGGACATAGGATGCAGGAATCCAACTGCTTCTTATATTGTTTTTCTGACATAGCCCCACCTTCATTCCCGCTAATTAGCCAAATCTCAGTGCATTTGCGGGAGCAATTTGTAACATAAATCTGCTTGCCTCACAGCTTTTGCCATTATTGGCATATCTTGGCTTGCTGGGGTTTGCTAAATTATTTATATTCATCCATCTGTTTTCTAGTTTCCAAAATTGTATCATTGTTAAGTTCTCTCCCAATTCCTTTGATTTTGAGAATTTGTGCCTTGAAAAAATAAAATTCCATTTTGCTGTTTTAGTGGGGCTTAGGGAGGAAACAAAAAAATTAGTATGTTTACTCTACCTTCTTTAACTCAAAATTATTGAAATTATCTTTTTTAATATTACCTTAAGTGGTCAGTTTGTAGAACTCAGATGTAAGCTAGCCTCTGGCCTTGAGGCCCTTTGTTTCTGTGTGCATGGGCCTGGCCGCAGTCATGTAGCTCTCTTTCCCTTGTCCTGTGCATTGACTTGTGTCAATGACTACCCTTCTTAGGATGTAACAATCCATGGCCGCCACCATGGTTCTTT